GAGAGCTACTGCTAAAGAATATGGCATTTCTCGCAGCACCCTGGATCGCTATATAAAGAGAGTTAAAGGTCAGTTTGACGACATCTCATTAGTGGTAGACAGTGTTTTATTGGAATTCCTCCGTAGTTGCAGCCAACGTACACCATCAAACATGGTAAGTTTATTGTTTGTCTTTTTCACATTTAGCGCATAATAATTTAATTTATCTTACTTATTTTTGTCAAGGTTTTCGCAATGGCTCGTGAAAAGGAACTTGTGCAATATATTTTGAATTGCGCTAGCCCGGTTGTGGACATAGTTAGGTTTTTGCCTCATAACTTTTGACCAATTGCATATTATACAAACATATGTGTACCAATTTAAAGCTAGAGGCATTAGCTAACTATCAGTGAAGAACTAAATTGATTCCTTAATTCGGAAAAATTTTATCAAGAATTTAGTGAAGTAATCTTTTTTCGAGAAAAAAAAATATAGTCCTAGTTGTGGACCACCCTGAAAAATCCGCTTAAAATTGAAAAATATGAAAGAAAATCATTACAAATAACGAGAAATTGGAGGTTTATTTATTTTAAGAGCCTACTGGCTTAAAGAGAAAGAAGGATGATACTTTTTAACATGAATCATCGTAGTCAGAGTCGCAGTGTTTGCATGTGAAGTAGCTGGCACGCATATTAGCGCACTTTAAATGCACCAGACGACTACATTCATTGCATTCGATGGAGTTTGCGGCGGTCAACTTTTTTGGCAGGAGGTGCAGACAGATGATGCAAAAATCCTCATCATCTTCCGAAAGAGCCTTGCTTCGCTTAGCTGCTGGTTTGCCTAATGATGCCTTCCGTCCACGCTTTTTCTGGGCAGAAATAGATGCCTGCTTCCTCAAGGAAGCAATACAGTGCGGTGAGGTAATCACGGAGCTTTTCATTGGCTTTCTTCCACGATTCGAAGGCTTTTTTGGTGTAGCCGATTGCAGTGGACCAACATCTTTTAAAAGTGACAGGCAGCTCGTTAAAGATGCTCCTAATGATAGCGCTGCACAAGGCTTTATAGTTAGTTATGACATAACATATAACATAACATATAGTTAGGTTTATAGAAGTCTGTTCCGGAGAGCGCAAGACGAGTTCGGAGTGCTGGCGAATGAAATTCTTATACCAACGACTACCCGCCATCTGATTTATATCCCAATTTTCTGGGTAGTCGACATCGAGTTTCTTAGCGAATTGATAAGCCAATTTTTTAAGCTCATTGATGCTTAGGCCATAATAATGGTTAGCGCAATTCAAAATATATTGCACAAGTTCCTTTTCACGAGCCATTGCGAAAACCTTTACAAAAATAATTAAGATAAATTAAATTATTATGCGCTAAATGTGAAAAAGACAAACAATAAACTTACCATGTTTGATGGTGTACGTTGGCTGCAACTACGGAGGAATTCCAATAAAACACTGTCTACCACTGCTGAGATGTCGTCAAACTGACCTTTAACTCTCTTTATATAGCGATCCAGGGTGCTGCGAGAAATGCCATATTCTTTAGCAGTAGCTCTCACAAATTGCTTGTCCGACAAGCAACACTAAATGGCTTTCAACAGTGCAGTAAAATCCATTTCTTTTTTATATGTGTCACATTCGTAAGGTTGCTCTGAACTGATCTTGATTTAACCACTAGACCGATTTTGTTTACATTTTTTTAAGCTTTACATGAGAGAGAAGAGAATGCAATCTTATTCTAATGTAATCCTAAATTAACGGTTAATGAGAATAGACCTATCCCACTCTAATACATAGTACGGGGTGCTAGATAATTATGATCTGCGCTTAAAAGCTTTGGCAGCATCATAAGGTGCTTCTAGACGATGCAATGACTGCATGAGAAGCTCTTATGTCTGTGAGGCTGCACGCTTTGTTTACACGCTGCAGCATTTCGCATGCAGTTTTACTCACACAGAGGGCAGAGTGAGAGAGAAATAGCTAAAAGCTCATGACCCAGCGCAAATATCTAAATCAGTTTGATATTCTGTGCAGCATTGTACGCGTGAAATGAGATCGTATACGTCACACGTACACATGCTGCCATGCAGCCGCTGCATCGTCTAAATTCGATATCAAGCTCAAAGCTCAAACTAATGTACAGTGGTCTAAATGTTATTTATTTGTACTACATTACATTAAACAACAATATTATGCAGCTTCGTAACCAAATACACGCATTAAATACAAAATACAAGATGTCTACAACAGGAATCTTGGCGTGTGTCATAACCGGGCAAAACAGACAATTTTTCCAAAAAACCAAAAAAAAATGTTGTGCATATATTTTGGTTAAAAACGAAAACAATTCACAAACTACAATGACCACACTACAAGGAAAGCGAAATACTATAATTTTTGGACAAAATTTACATACATTTTTTCGCACTTGAAAAATAATAAAATTTACTTTGAAGTTTTTTTTTTCGCCATTTTTTATTATTATGCTCACAGCACCTAGACCAAAGCAGCTATTTGTTTCGATATTAGCACAAAAACTGCGTATTGTTACCGAATATGACTCCCAATACTCAGATCAGAAGCATCTGCTTGCTGTCCAAGTTTTTGGGGGGTGGGTCACAACTAGTACCTGGTCCACAACAGGGCACTCTCCCCTACTTTATGGGGTCGGAAACGTTTCCTTCTCTGCGTTACACACATCCACTTTTACCACAAATCTAATATACCCCTTAACGATTTTTTGAGTACGGGTATAAAAATGCAAAATCGCCAATTCGACACCAAAGGTACCCCAAATGGCACCTGTACCAGCTGCCAGACTGGCTTGTTTCGAAAGACCATTTACATATACGGGTGTCGATTATTTCGGCCCCATATTAGTGAACGTTGGAAGGCACAAGGAAAAGCGTTGGGGAATCCTATTTACATGCCGGGGAATGTTGCCGACGAAATTTAAACTTAAAAGAGTAGTTCTGAAATTTAAACCATAACAGCCACGTAAGCGCATACGGAAACGCCACCATGCATAAGCACCACCATTCGGCAACTCTAAAACAGAGAGACAATTGAGGATAAACCAGCGAAGCAAGAACACAAAGTTTTCTAAAGCTCTCTCTTATTATTATTATTAAACTCACATAATAAATGGGAATGCTATATAAATTTTTCTCCCCTTTATTGCTTCGAAATATTCAACACCAGTGCCTCAACAATATATACTTTATGGAGTCGGAAACGTTTCCTTCTCTGCGTTGCACACATCCACTTTTACCACAAATCTAATATACCTCTTAACTCTTTTTGGAGTACGGGTATAAAAAAGAAGTAACTACAACTCAAAGCTGTCGTTTTATTGACCATCTTTATATTTAAGTGAAAGCCATCCTCTCCACTACAGAACATCAATGGGTATTGAAGTGAATCATATGACCGGTATGCTGGTACACAGCACAAACTGTGTATGCATACAATTGGTTTCCTATGCTGAGAGCAATTACAAAAACAAAAGGGTTCGCAGGGCAATGGGCCTGGGCATCGCTGCTTTAGAACAATATCGCATGATTCTACATTCTCTCCACTCTCTTACTTTTCATTTCGGCGAGGAATTTGTTGCCGTTTCGAAAAACGGAAAAGTCCTGTGTTTTACGAGTGCGAAAGCGCCTGACGTTTCGTTTTGAAAAGTAAATCACATAAGTTTTGTGAAAGTGAAAACCGGAGCCAGTCTGGGTATAACAGCAGTAAATTTGGCGCTTAAAAGTACAAAGAGTAAACAATTCACAAAAGTGGGTTCCAGAGCGCCTTGAAATGAAAAGTATGACTTTTTGCTGAAAAATAAAACACAGTGAATGTGATAACCGGAGCCTGCCTGATTGACTTTTTTATTTTAATTAAAAAAGTTAATGAGGCCGAATATGGTTTTATTTAAAACAAAAATACGAATCATATTTGCGTAAAATTATAATCCTTTCAAAGAGACATCAATGTACAACATGAAAAGTAATCTATATACATACATATGTATTTGTGTAGGGCTGTTTTTGGAAGCAACAACCCACAGCCTATACCGTTCGCTCCAGCGACCTGATTTTTTTTTGTAGATTGATTCTTTTCGGCCAATGATTTCCGCTAACGAAACATTATTTGATCCTCCCAACAAATTAAAAGTTTGTTGAACCGCAAAAGACAGGTGGCAAGAGGTGAAGAGGGTAAAGGCAAGACTCAAAAAAGGAAGCAAGAGGCAAAAAGCAAAAAGGCTAAATTATGCCTACAGTATTTAGATCGCAATGTGATCTGGTGGGATGCTAAAGAAATTCTTTGTCTTAAGCAAATTTTGTTTTTACGCACACGAACGCTTTGCTTTGCTATCCACACACCATAAGCTTGCATTTTAAAATTGACCAGCCAAACTTAGTTTAGCATGCTGGGCTGCATTGTCGGCTCCAACAACATTATTTGATTTAATTACACATCTCCTTTCGAAATTAGTTTGCATCACTATATTGTCCCAACTTTCGTTGAAATCTGAGTTTGAATTGATCGCCGCGAAAACCACTTCCAAATTTGTCCCGTGCAAATGGCTTGGTTTCGCCTTCAGAGAAAAAAAACCCAAACAATTTTTATGCACAACGCTATCGGAAAGACTGTTTGATGCTGGGCAAAAAAAATGTATTTTATTTCCTTGTGTAATTAGCTGACAACGACCTTTGGGGCTTTGCTGATGACACATCTGATACACAAGATACATCTGACTGTGCAGGAAAACGGACGTCTCTTACTGATGTAAATACTCTTAAGCTGAGTTCTTAACGGAGTCTGAGCTCACCGCATTTCGTTTACAATCAATTGATTTGATGTCGTTTCTCAGATAAACCAGGAAGGTCCTGTGATGATGCGCTACCGTATATATGTACATACTGTACAGAAGAAGCAAGAAACAAGATACAAAAACTCACGGCTTCATGTCTGCCTGTACACACACAAACGCAATATGAAACAATTGAATGTATGCATGTGTTCGAAAGTGTCTCAACAGATGTTTCTTCTGAAGAAAACTTTATTCGCTTAGATAAAAAACATTTCCGTAGACTGACGATTAGATTTTCTTGAAGACCTTTTATATATATTAAAGATTTCGACGCATCCCATTTTATTACAATATCGTATTTCTATATTTCGATTTAGGGTAGTCTGTATTTAAGGTATGGCTTAATATATTGTTTCTTAATAGTTTTCTACGTTATCTTAAGTATTAAGTGCTTGCAAATGTAATCTTTAGATCCTAATCAACGCATGTTCATTTAATATCATAAATTAAATAATTGAACGATTATCAAAGCTACACATTTTTAAAGGGACTGATCGAAAACGATCATAGGCTAAATTTTTAAATATTTCCAGTATTACTTAAAATTTTAATAATATTTACGCATAGTACTATCATGCGAATAGTATTTGCGTTTTCTGATATTTTTAGAATCGGTGATTTCCCACTGGGGAACGAGATCTGAAACGGCATCCTCCTTGTCCACCGCTTCGTCCATAGCTCGTGCTGGTGCCACTACTGTAGCGGCCGCCATCGCGACCTCCACCATAAACATCACGACGACTAAAGCCGTTACTACCGCTATCTCTTCCGCTGTAGTTAGCACCAGAGCGACCAGAGCTATATCCACGCTCAGCATGTCGGCTACTGGAACCACTCGAACCACGTACTTGTCTAAATCCACCGTTGCTACTGTTTATGCTGTGCCTGCCGAAATCGCCACGACGACCACGTTCACTGGATCCACCACGCCTACTTTGGCGTGGCCGCCCCTTTGATATTTCCACACGCAATTGGGAGCCTAAGAGCTCTGAACCGTTTAGAATATCACATGCTTTTTCGGCATCATCCCGATGTTCAAACTCCACAAATGCGAATCCAGGCGGATTGAACGCAATCCAAACAGAATTAAGCTTGCCATACTTGGTAAATTCTCCTTCAAGGTCATCCTTTTTTACTTTATCAGTTAAATTACCGACATATACTCTAGTTCCACGTTGATCGGTCATACTAGTCATTGCACTTCAATACTTTATATACCTTCCTTCTATTAATAAAATCAATACGTTTTCACAACCCTGCAACAGAGCGTTTGTATGTATATCAAGTTTTAAGCTAGAGTAACATTCAGATGTACGATAAAAAAAAACAATATTTGGAACACCGAAAACGAAGCATAAAATGCTTTTAAATAATCGCAAACCACAGTTTCATACTCCAGTTTCCACTTTGGCGCTTTTAGCTTAAATAGTTATTTTTAGTTTTTTCATTGATGTCATCAAATTTTTTAAAATTCGTTCTTGGTTGACAACGTTGATAAAAATGACATTAATTTATTCGATAGCTTCCTTTGACGTGTGACGACTGCAGAAGGAGCGGGGAAAATAATATCGAGACATCTAAGATGCAACACATATATATTAAATATGTTTGAAACACGGTTTTCGCGCAGATAAGAGCCAGTAACGTTTAGAAAAGGTTTCATTCCGACGTTCTGATATCAGTCTGTGACACCTGTTATCAACATAATGTACATTTTTGTTGCTCTGACTAATAGCTTCAGATACAAATTTGAGTTGAGTAGCAAAAAATTAGGCTTATTATAATTATTATTACTATTGTTTTAAAGCGTTACAAGCCAATTTGATCTCTTAATAGTGTTAAATAATTTTTTATTCCTAAAATAGTAACATACATTTTCTATTTGCAGTTTAGATTCGTTTTCTTGTTTAGAAGTCGTTTTACGTCAGTAGTGGTTTTGATGTGATAAATTTATAATTTTTTTCCCGAAATTATTTGAACTATAGCCTTTTCACACTGGGGACCATCCACCATCCGCCATCCATTTCCGGGACGGTCCGTAAGGTTTTGCCGTTCCGAAAATTTCCCAGTTATTCCACCATCCATCTGGGATGTTCCTAATTCGCACGTTTCTGTGCGGTATTTTTTCGATAATTGTCAAATGCAACCATTAATATTTGACATTCACAACAAAAAATCGGAATTCACTACGAAAATGTAAACAATGACAGACAGGAAAATATAAAAAAACAAAAACAAGATAACATCTGATATGTCAGAATTGTCTCAGGCACACAATTCGGGAATCCTCTGGGAATTTTTTTATGAATGCTCTGCAAAACTCATGCAGGATATTGCACTTGTTTTGGCTGACAGCCTTCTGACTCTTCTGTACTCAGAAAAAGAGCCCAAAGTATACAGTGCTAGACATATAGAAAACTTTCCTTAGAAAATGCCTCGTTGTTTTCGGGTACATTTTTCTCCCAAAATGTTCCAAACCGCTTCTCAGAAAACATAGAATATGTAATTTTATTTAAACATTGATTGTATTTAAAAGAAGCATTCTGAAATGACCACGCTTCAGTGTTATCAAAACAGATATCCACTCCAATAAATTCTCCTCGTCAATGTTAGCCGCATTATCATCATCCATGTCCAGCAACATGATTAGCTTGTGCAAGAATATGTTTTGCTGCTGAATCACATTTACAACCATTGCAATGTTATTTATATTCATTTAAATTATAGATGTGAACAAATTTTTCACCTCACGTAATTGTGAGCATCAGCTGTTTTCTCATGGATGGTGGATGGTGCATGGAGTCAATGTGAATAGGTGTTTCACATATTTCAAAAATTCCCACCATTCCCTCGGGATGGGCTCAGTGTGCAGAGGGCATTAAGCTTTTGCCGTTCCTAAAATTTCTGAGTTTCCCAACACCCAGGCTGGGATGTACCTTATCCGCATGTTTCTGTGCGTTTTTATTCGATCATTTTTAAATGCAACCTTAACGGAAAAGTGAAATTTACTGCGAAAATGTAAATAATGGCTGACAGGAAAATGGGGAAAAAACAATAACCAAACATATCAGAATTGTCTCAGTCACAAAAACTCGGAAGTGAGATAGTTTGTGGACTGTGCTCTGTGAATTTGTTTATGAATGCTCTGTAAAACTATTGCCCAAGGTTTTGGCTGACACACCGAAAAGCGTTCCGTTCGGTATTCAGAAAAAGAGCCGAAAACGCATACAATGCTACATCCTTAAAATCGCCTCGTTTTTTTTTTTCGGGGAACCACTTTTAAAAACACAGCATATATATTTGTATATAAAACATTGATTGGATTTAGTAGAAGCAGTCACAAATGACCACGCTTCAGTGTTTTTAAAACATATATATATTCTAATAAATTCTCGCCAATGTTAGCCGCAATATCATCATACATGTCCAGCAACATGATTACATAGCTTTTTCAAGAAAATATTTTGCTGCTGAATTATATTCATATTCAGTTAAATAATGTATATTATTTGTAATTTTTTCACCATCCAGCATCCCTGAAAAATCAGTTGATGAACGTAAAATATCACAGTTTTAGTTTTAAGCTTGGTATCCAGCAAAACAAAATATAACAATTTGAATCAAACTTTTTATAAAAAAAAATGTGCCAGCAATTTTTCGTTTATGTTTTCGTTGCGTGTATCCAGCAATTTGAACGAATTCCACAGATTCTGAGACTGAGAGAATCTTGATACACCACTCTGGAATATATGTTAAGCAATCCTGTCTCCAGCACTGCGGAAAAATTCCTGCTAGGAATTTTCTAGCTATTTCGTTTGTGTGTGGAATATAACTAAGACAGGATGACCATGCACCTAAGTCGTGCTTGAATGAGCTGTGTCTTGTAAAGGGCTGTCTCCAGCACCGCGGAAAATGGCGGCAAGGAATTTGCTAGTTATTCCGTGAGGGTGTGGAACATAGCTAAAAGAGGGTTGATGAATCAGCAGTGTTGTGTAAACATGGGCAACTGTAAAATTCTGATAAAATTAAAAAAGGGAAAAAATGCGCTCTGATGATGAAGTGATTGTGTTGGTAGCGGCAAATATTGTTGCAAGACAAAACAGAATAATTTTCATCTCTCTTTTTGGTTTTGCGGACAGTTTTTGCCTACATCTTGCACCATTCACTTCAGGAAGAATTTTAAAGTATATATACAAATTATTAGATGTTATCCCACAATATTAACTGAGGCATCAGCCGATGGCAGTAACAGAATGGGATTTGTTTTAAGTGTTTATTACCGGCACGACTGGCGCGGTTGAGAATCAGATAAAATCTAAAAGTACAAATATGAAGTTATGAATATAGCCCCTTCAGCTTAGGCAGCGCTGCTCGAGCAGCAATACTCAACTCTGCTGTGTCAGCGCCTCGTGCGGACGCTGTTGGTCGGGCGGATGTTTAAGCAACATAGTAACCTGATGCTGCTCCTTCCATACCAGCGCTGGGTCAGCATTCTTACGAGTAAGAATTGCGCCGATACTCTTTAGCTGGCGGGGAGTGTTTGCTACTCCCTCTCTTTAAGAGTGGTCGCCCTCGACCCTCTCAAATTCTCTATCAGCGCGTTGACCTGGTCCAAATCCCTCCTCTTCTTGAGTATTGATCTGATGTAGAAGATACTACCGATGACTCTGCACAGGGCCATTCCTAGACCAAAGGCGATTATATGATTTACCTTGCCCGTTGTGGTTCGCTCGACCTCTGTAATATAGTTCAGATTGTCCTCACTGAGCTGGTGGTGTAGGCCCTGTGATATGCATGGCGGGCACCGAAGCGATGCCGTGTACCCGACGTTTGGTGTTTTCGCGATTCAGGAACCGGGAGCCGTTGTTGGTGGCAAAGTCATTGAAGGCGACCAGCTGCGTTCTCGAGGTCTTAACCAACGTGTGGGGATCACAATTGATCGTGGCGGGGTTGAGAGCGGCAATGCGCCGTGCCACCAGAGTGTAGCCCCTGCGCACAGGAACCACCCAACTCCTTCCTGCAGAAGTTGGTAGTGGTAGTGGAGGTGCAGAACGTAACGGCCCACACCTGGCTTTCGCACTCGGCTACGATGTTCTCCGTTAGCTGTAGTACGGTACCGTTGTGCTCAACCGGGTATATCATAACCTTCTTACAGGCTAAACTTACTCTAGGATACCCTATAATAAAATGGATAATATAACTTGATTGCAAAACCCTAATGATGGATACTTCTAATAGGTTTGAAACTGTAACCCCTGTGAATTAGTTAGTGAGAATGGATTCTATAGAATAGAAAGGCTAACCAAGTTGGCTTTTGCCAAGGTGATTGTGAGCATTAAGTTCCATAACTCAGTAATAAGAATTATATTTCAGGCTAATAGTGTTTCGTAAAAATGGGCGTCCGTAAAAATGGCCTTCCTTTCTGTGCTAAGGATCTTGTTGACTGTACTCGTGAGGGTGTCGTTCTGGTTCTTAACTTTTGCTTTTACTATTATCTGTCTATTATTCGAATGGACCAGCTGTGCTTCAGTAACCTTAAAATTTTCCAAGTCGGAGGCGTCTGGCGTGCCGGCCACTACCTTGAGGGCCGTCCCTAGGAAGTCTAAACTCCTCGCCAAACTATGGTGAATACCAATATCTGCCAGCATATCCTTGACGTGGCTGGAGTCAACTTCCAGCAGCTGTCTCATGTGAGATCACGGGAAAAGGTCTGTCATTTAATGGTTTCGTCGGCAATGCGGCCATATTCTGATAGGTTTGCTGTGTGTCTAATGTAGTTCAATTTTTCCCAAGCTAATAGCGACCCGTCTGTAATAGGAATGTATTGGGAGTGTGAATAGTCGGTGACGCGGGCAGCGACTATTTTTAGCGTATGAAGTACCCAGAAAAGCCTGCGTATAAAGGATGAATATAAAATATACAGAAACAATAAGGAATGATAAGGACCACCACCATTTTCTTGACCTAACTGGGGAACTTATCTTAAGTAGTCCTAATGGACCACCCTCCCTCTAATCAGGACTATTGTCACCAAGTCCGCCTCCACAGCTTCTTACACATATAGCGGGGTCAACATGTTTCCGAGGCGTCTGTTAGACTTCACTAACACTTTTCCTACTTCCCTAATGCTCTCTACACACTGGGCCCATCCCGGAGGAACGGTGGGATTTTTGAAAGATGTGCAACACCGATTCACACTGAGACCATTCACCATCCATGAAAAACAGCTGATGCACACAATTTGGTGCGGCGGAAAATTTGTTTACTTTTATAATTTAAATTAATATTAATAATATTGCAATGGTTGTGAATGTGATTCAGCAGCAAAAAATATTCTTGCAGCTATGTAATCATGTTGCTGGACATGGATGATGATAATGCGGCTAACATTGGCGAGAATTTATTGGAATATATATATGTTTTAAAAATACTGAAGCGTGGTAATTTGTGACTGCTTCTACTAAATCCAATCAATGTTTTAAATACAAATATATATTCTATGTTTTCTGAGAAGTGGTTTGGACATTTTGGGAGAAAGATGTACCCGAAAACAAGAGGCGTTTTTTAAGGAAAGTTTTGTATAGCCATAGCATTGTATACTTTGGGCTCTTTTTCTGAGTACAGAACAGTCGGATGGCTGTCATCCAAAAGCGGGTTCAATATCCTGCATGAGTTTTGCAGAGCATTCATAAAAGAATTCCCAGAGGATAGTCCACAAACCGAGTTTTTGTGCCTGAGACAATTCTGACATATCAGATGTTTTGTTGTTGTTTTTTTTACCATTTTCCTCTCTGTCATTGTTTACATTTTCGTAGTGAATTCCGTTTTTGTTGTTGCGAATGTCAAATATTTATGGTTGCATTTCACAATTACCGAGAAAATACCGCAAAGAAACGTGCAAATTAGGGACATCCCAGATGGATGGTGGATGGTCGTCAGTGTGAAAAGGCTATACAGGTTCTGTTGTGTCTGGTTTGGTTTATTCGATTGTTTTGGACAATCTGAGCTTTATGGACCCTATTTTTTATCTCTTTGTGAGCGTCTTCTGCAGCAGCTTGAAAAAAATCTACAGGTCTTTTGTTCGTGACTGAATGTATTGATTTGTTGTATTCTACCATTACCTGCAAAAATAGGTCGAGATTGTCGCCGAAGCCCTTAGCCATTTTAAGGCAACTGGCAATTTCTACCAACGTACTGCGGAACCTCTCTACTTGTCTTCTAGAGGTACTGTGAAGTGGGGGCGCGTTCGTGATGTAGACCCCAAAGTTATTTAGCAAAAGCGATCTGATCATCTCAGAATTAAGCGATGGTTCGCTGTCGCAATAAATCTGTTTTGCATTCGGGAACACATTCATTATCTGCAATAGCGGAATTTTTAGGTCTGCATTGGTGGGGGATGTTATTGCTTGCGTGATTGCGAATTTCGTCGCATATATAAACACGAATTGCGGTTTATATATGCATCTAGCTTTCTTCTTTCTTTCGTCTTCGCTATCGCTCTCTTGAGCTATCTTTCTCTCGCTTGCATTAGGGCACGGGCAATTCGGTCCGCCTGCCCTTAGCAGAGTCTGGATACAGGTGATACATTTGGTATCCTCCTCTAAAAAAGACATCGTGGGAAAATAAGAATCGGTTATAACCTGTTTTACGTTTTCCTGGGCCGCCCTATGGGCCAGATTGTGCTGCTGTGCTGATCTCTTTTTTTTCGTTCTCATCGAACACGTCGGCGACAAGATTCTTGCAATGCCAGAATCTTGTCAACGGAAAGGCTCTTACATCTCATACTGGACGCATGCTAAGGTTGGTAAGTCGCAATGGATTGCGTTTACGACTAGTGGGTTCACCACGGACTTGACAATCTCAGCTAGAGAGTTTTTGTCTTGGTTATGTATTACGTGGTGCTTTTTTTTCCACAAAGAGTACAAAAATCTGTTTCAGAGGGAAACGTGCCTCTTCCAGAATGATCTGGTTTCTGAAGCAATTGATTGGCTTATCTGATGATTCTATTGTGTATGTCACTGACACTTCACTTTGAATCGTCGCCACGTCTGACCACGGTGCTCTGCTTTCTAGCGCGCAAATGTTCTGTCGCGACAGTGCGTCCTTGGTTCTAGCCATGGCTCGTCACAAATTGCGGAGTGTCAGCGCATCCACGCTAGTCGGCAACAATAATCAAACTGATATACACAGAGCCAACGAACCACGCTTCTCCACAAATAGCGGTGCGTCAGCACATCCGGAAAATAAAATAGTCTTAAGCAACGCACGCAATTACTAAAATTAAGAACTCTCGATCAACAACTCTACCCATTCGGCATTATTTCGCAATCACCGAAAAAAAAACAGCACGAAATTCTCGGTCACCCACTTCTTGGCGATATTTCGCAACCACTCGGCCTCGAAACATCGACCCAAATTCAGATATCGTCTTCGCGATGCGGTGGTAGCTAAAACCTAATTCCCAACTGCAGGCCGCACCTACTGCGATGCAGCCTCAGCTAAACACTCTCATCAAAACACACTGACCCACTAAGCAATTGTCAACGATGCACCCAGCGTCGACCCACTTACCACGCCCCACAATTATTGTTACCCAATAATCAAAAGTTAGCAATAAGCAATTATTTCCGGGTCACAGTTGCGATCGCCAGCTGCATAAAAGGGCCAAGATCGGCCGAAAGAGGGGGCAGTCCATCAGCCCGAACACAAGACACAGCACTAGGCAGTCCATTAGCCAGAATACAAGAAACTGCACTAGGCAGTCCCTCAGTCACACACCCAAGACACTGCACTAGGCAGTACACCAGACCGAAAACAAAAGAGACACTACACTAGGCAGTCACAAACGCAAAAAACCACACTCCGCAGTCCACCAGCGCACCACACAGCCAAAAGCAAGAGCAGCAACGTAAATAACTAAGTGAATGAAAAGTACTGAATAAAGCAAGAACAACCAAAACCAAACTCTCGCGTCATCATTTATCCCTTGCCTACTGCATTTCAAGCCAGCCCGACACCTGAAGTCACCTGCGATCTACAAAATTTTCTTGTAGCGGACCCTGGACAGACTGATGCATACCTCAGCCTGAAATAAGGAATGTGCCAAAAAGAAACTGCATACTTTCAATCGTCAATTTCTCGCAGTGCGAGCTTTCGATCATGCCATGCGATGCACCGTTAGAAAGCTCGATGAATTCTGCATTGCTTACATGTTCTCTTTTCACTATTCGCCCCTCACTTTCAACAATGCCCCGAATTGAAGAACAAGTTCGCAAAAAAATTGTGCACAATTACTGCATTGAAAAAGGTGTGTCGTACAGACAATTGGCTAAACGCTACAAAGTCAGTACTAATAGTGTAAAAAACATTATAATAAAGTTTGGAGAGACATGTTCTTTAAAAGACTTGCCAAAAACTGGAAGGAAAAAAGGTGCAAGTGATAAAAATGTTGATAACAAAGTATTGGCCTTAATCCACAAAGACAGAACGATGTCCGTTCGACAATTGGCAAAAAAAGCCCGAACTAGTATGAGTATGGTACAAAGAATAAAGCAACGGCATAACTTAAAGACATACAAAAAACAAAAAGTTCCGAAAAAGAGTCTGCGACAAGTAGAAGTCGGCAAAACGAGAGTGCGAAAGCTTTATGATCGCTTGCTCACTGATGCAGTGGAATGCATTGTTATGGACGACGAAACATATGTCAAATTGGACTCAAAAACGTTAGGTTAGGTTAGGTTGAAGCGGCTGTCGGGATTGTCAGAGACCCGACACACCTAGGCCGGTTTCGGCCCGTTGTGATACCGCATATTACGTTCCCTTCTCCCTCGTGAGACCCTATGTTATCCATTATCCCATCCGGATGCCCTTATGAAGCCTGCGATCCGTCTGGGACTGATTGTAGACATGTCCGAAATGTTAATTAGAAAAGGAGCGCCCAAGTATTGCAGTCTCCTTCTACTGAGAGCCGGACAGGAGCAGAACAGGTGTTCCACAGTCTCCTCCTCGTCCTCATCTCTACAGCTTCGACAGAAGTCGTTATATGGGGCGCCCAGCCTGCTTGCATGTGTGCCTATTAGCCAGTGTCCCGTGAGGGAGCGTATGACTGAGCTGCACCTACTCCTACTGAGTTTGCAGAGCTCATCGGTGCGCTTCCTAATAATGTTAGGCCATGTTTGCCGAGTTATGCGACATAGTGACACGGTTTGCCATCTGTCATTTATTAATCGCTTAAAATGTTCTTTTATTTTGAGCTTGCAGGTGGCCATTGGCATACGAATATCCTCCTTATCATGGAGAAGGGGGATTGTTGTGCCAGCTCTGGCCAGCTCGTCCGCTATGCAGTTGTCTTCAATGTCCTGATGGCCCGGGACCCATATTAGGCTGATGACGAACTGATAAGCCATCTCATGAAGAGATTTGCGACAGTTTGCCACGGTGGCCGAGCTTGTTGTTATCGCATTCAGCGACTTGATCGCAGCTTGGCTGTCACTGTAGATATTTATATGAGTTGCCGCAGGGGCTATTTCCTGAAGACAGCTCAGAGCCTCCTTGATCGCTATGACTTCCGCTTGGAAGACACTGCAGTGATCCGGGAGCCTGAAGGACTGTCTTATGTTCAGCTGTTCGGAGTAGATTCCTCCTCCGACCTTGTTGTCCAGCTTTGAGCCATCAGTAAAGATTCGAATGGCTCCCTTTGGACCAGGTGGTCCCTCAAGCCAGATGTTTCTGTGAGGGATGATTGTTTCGAAGGGGGTATCTGTATACTCCCTCGGAACGCAGTAGTCCGTTTTTGTGGGGACGATTTTGTTTCCATTTAGGATGGACGCATGACCGGTGTGATGTGACACCCATTGGTCAGAGTCTCTAAGAGGGATTGCTGCTATTTCTGCCTGCTCCTTACCTGCAAGGTCAAGGCTCTGTAGGCATAGGATAGCATTTAGCGCATCCGTTGGTGTTGTGCTTAGAGCTCCACTGATGCATAGGGCTGCAGTGCGCTGCACCTTGCCCAGTTGTTTAGTGATGGTCCCCTTCGATAGGGCAGGCCACCACACTGCGACTCCGTAAAGTAGTATTGGTCTAACTATTGCCAGGTAAATCCATTGGACTATTCTTGGGTTCATGCCCCATTTTAGCCCAATGGCTTTCTTGCAAGTGTAGAGGGCTATCGTAGCCTTCTTCACTCTGTCTTTGATGCTCAGGTTCCAGCTAAGTTTTTTGTCAATTACCAACCCTAAGTAACTGGCACTGTCGCTGAAGGAGAGCCTACATCCGTTTAGTATTGGGGGGTTGAGGGACGGGATTTTGTATTTGGTTGTAAACAATACAAGTTCCGTTTTAGAGGGATTGATTCCCAGTCCACGCGACTCTGTCCATTCTGAGAGTCGCGCGAGCTTTGCGGTCATTAGATCGCAGAGTGTTTGAGGGAATTTTCCCGAGAAAATAATGGCAACGTCGTCCTCGTATGCTACCACCTTGCAGCCCCCCCCCCCCTTCCAGGTCACACAGTATCTTATTGACTGCTTTGTTCCATAGAAGGGGAGACAGGACACCACCTTGCGGGGTGCCTCTGTTGACATACCTAGACTGAGTGGACGATCCCATTGATGATGTCACTGTCCTGCATGTGAGCAATTGATCTATGAGCATCATCAAGTGACGATCCACTCCCAGGTCAGTCAGGGCCTCTGTGATGGCTCCTGGTATGACGTTGTTAAAAGCTCCCTCAATGTCTAGGAAAGCGATTAAGGAGTATTCGTTGACTTGTAGAGATTTCTCTACCGCCGAGATTACTTCATGGAGTGCCGTTTCCGTGGATTTTCCTTTTCGGTAGGCATGTTGAGCGCCTGACAGCCACTGAGGATTTATAGTTGTCCTCAGCTGCAGCCCGACTAGTCTCTCAAAGGTTTTGAGAAGAAAGGACGATAGACTTATTGGTCTGAAGTCTTTTGGGGTTGTGTGTGAGGGTTTCCCTGCTTTGGGGATAAAGACTATTTTAGCCTTTAGCCAAGCACGGGGGATTTTTCCCACTGTCAGTATCTTCCTGAAGATACTTTGCAGCCAGTTGATGGCCATGTCCCCGGCTTTTTGCAACTGAGCCGGAATGACTTGGTCCGGGCCAGGCGATTTGTAGGATTTAAAGCTGTTTACTGCCCAGCTAATATTCCGTTTTGTGAGGATGTGCCCCATCGAGGTTTCCGGGCCTTCACTTGGGGTGTCTGCCGGCTCGATGATCGTACACCCAGGAAAATGAGTATCGAGTAGAATGTGTAGGGAGTCCTCACTAGAGTTAGTCCACGTACCATCCGTTCTCTTGAGGTATCCCACCGATGGGAATGTTGCGGATCTTGCGTAGCCTTGCGGCTTCTGACGTGTACTCAATTTCGGAGCAAAATTTGTGCCAAGAGGCCCTTTTTGCTGTCCTTGTTTCTTTTTTGTATAGGGTTAGCTAACTTTTGTAATTTTCCCAATGCGCTTCCTCGCTGCTGCTTTTGGCTCTGTTAAAGAGAGTCCTGCAGTCTTTCCGGAGGGTATCTATATGTTTAGACCACCAGGGGGGTTTCTTTTTCCCTCTTGGTTTGGTTGGGGGGCAAGCTGCCATGAAGGCCTTGTTGCAAGCTTTCGTGAAATTGTCCACAAGACGATTAAGATCGTCTTGTGTGTCCGGGCATTTTGGGGCTAGGGGGGGGGGAGTAATTCCTCCATTTTTGCACTATACATATCCCAGTTGGCTTTCCTTGGATTAATATAGCTAGTGGGTATGGTGCTTTCGAGCGATAGGATTGTCTCGATGTACCTGTGGTCGGAGAAGGAGTGGTCCTCTAGGACTCTCCAACTTTCCATTATGTCTGACAGTTTGTGAGACAATAGAGTGAGGTCAATAACCTCTTGACGGTTTTTTATGATAAAAGTGGGGTCATTACCCCGATTACCGATAATTAGGTTGGAGTTCAGGATGAAGCTGAAAAGTGACTCACCCCTTACATTTGTATCCGAGCTCCCCCATTGGGTGTGATGAGCGTTGGCATCGCAGCCTATTAGTAGGCTTGTATCCGACCTCTCGCTGTCGCTGGCAATCTTGCGAACGAGGTCACTGGGAGGATCGCTTTCCTCGTGAGCCATGTAGGACGACACCAGGTTCAGGCGTGGACCTTGTAGCTCTAGGCTAGCCGCCGTATTGTCGCCATTGCTAAAATTGTGGAGCAGAAAGATATTTAAGTGCTTTCTTGCTAGTATGCAGGTTCTAATTTTACCTTCAGTTTGGGCTACAATCAGCTTGTAGTCCTTCGTCGCTAATCCACAGACCCTGCCTCCTACCACCCAGGGCTCTTGGATTAGGACTATGTCCCCTCCGCTTGCGACTAAGCGGAGTATCAGGGCAGCGGATGCTGCTTTACAGTGGTGGAGATTTATCTGCAGAAGCCTCAGAGACTTCATTAGAATCGTTCTCCACCACTGTTATGTCGGCGTCAGAGTCGTCAAGTATCTCGTCCCGACACAACGCCTCAAAATCGAGCATCAGCTCCGTCTCCGAGGAGTAGCTCTCCAGGGCCGGCTCCGGCTCCGGGTCTACTTCGGGTGCCTCGATCTCCAAGGCAACGTCCTGCTCAACTGGGTTGTTGACAGAACGCGCCTCGGTCGCTGCATCCGACTTATAGACCTTCATGGTCACCGAGCTGAACCCCAAGTTAAGCTCTCCCCTGGCTGCCTCTATCGGGGCTAGCGATTCCTTGTTCAGCACAACCACCGCCTGATTTGTGGGGCCCTTTGATGCCTCCACTTTGACCACCCTCCAATCTGAGGTTGGCAGTGTGGGGTTGCATCTCTGCAACATCGTGAGGATCCGCTCGGTCTCCTTGAAAGTGGCCGGTACCCATATACGGGCCCTTGGTCTACTGGGCACCTCGCTCCAGTCCACAGCGACGAGCTTCGCCCTGGCGTAGACCTCACCGATTTGCGCCACCGCAGCTTTGTATAGCTTTACGGAGCGCTCATCCTCTCAGGCTACCACTTTGATGCTCCCCTGGAACCATCCCATGTCTTTGCAGACTGGGGGTGGCCCGGGATCCTTCTCTAGAAGCTCGAAGCAGCGGTCGGCCAGTGCCGCTTCCACCCACTTCCACTGGCTTCTGGGTATTTTCCCCTGCGCGCTGCCTTTATCGAGAACGCCTATCAGCGTCCTCTCCTTGGCAATCTGCGCGAAGGATACATTCGGTATAACCCTGGATCGCTTCGCGACAGGTCCGGGCGTCTCTTGAGAGCGCTGCCTCTTCGGTTGGGCGGCCACCTTCTGTGGCTCCACACTGAAGTTGGGCAACACCACCGAGGCCCATTCCACTTTCTTCAGCCAGTCTGCTGTTGGACTGACTTCCTGGCTTGCGTTCTGCCGACGGAGTATGTGCCCAGCACTCCTCTTTTCGGCATAACTGAATTTTTTGGTTTGGACGCTGGTTGATGGTAAGCCATCACCCGCCACTTCACCAGAAGGTTGAGCAGCCGCAATATTGCTTAGCTGCCCTACCATGGTATCAGTTTTGGGTGTTGTCTTTCCACCCATCCCAGGTTTGGGATGGGACCCACCCGGATTCATACCCGCGTGCTTCAGCGTGCAGGTCTTTCCTGCTTCTGAGCGGATTTGGCCAGGCCTTTGGGCCGTTGCCTTCTCTCGCTTGGGATTGCTCCCTGTAGGCATTTGGGGAGTGCCTCTCTCGTTTTTGTTTTTGTTGTTGTTTATATTATTGAATTTGTCCATATAATTCCCACGAGCTGCAGAGAAGGGGACCGTTCCCGTTCCACCCCGGCAGAGCTCTGCGTTACCCGGGTAAGGCATAATTAGAACAGGGGGCTGCCAAGTCCCTGAGCTCTCCGTTCACGACTGGGCTAGTTTTTATACCGGGCCCCCAGCCAGGCTGACTCTTGGCACGGGTCGAGTGACACCTTAGTCCGGCCCGGTGTGAGGTGAGTGTTGGGGCTGGGATGTGGGTAGGTGTTGTGTAGGGATGGGATTGTGTGAGCTACTTAATGAGAGGCGGCACCACAAGCGCATCGTCAGTGTTGCTGCGTCGCGAACTGCTGGCTGTCCGGGACTGCTTATTTCGGTACTCTCCCTCAGAGCCAACTTAGTTGATACTCTTTAAGATGCCCGCTTATTCGCAGCTGACCTACCCACTAGGGTAGGCCGTTCGCTATCCGCAACCTGCGACCCGTCCGGTGGCCTCAGCTAGGCCCCCTCTGAGCCACCTCAAAGCCCAATAGGATCATCGGACTCAAAAACGTTACCCGGCCCTCAATTTTATACAAAAGCGAAAGGTGGGACTGTTGACGACTCGGTGTCGAAAATTCAAGTTGATAAATTTGGCGAGAAAGTGCTGTTGATAAATTTTGCACCTGTGGCTTAAGAAAAAGCTCTTTTTTCACAAAAGGGACAATAAACGCTGATGTTTATATGACGGAGTGCTTAAAAAAACGCCTGATACCTTTTTATCGAAAACACAATGTGTCTAGAATATTTTGGCCAGATCTAGCGTCAGCGCACTACGCCCGTTCAACTCTGGCGTTGCTTGACTCAAAAGATATCAATTTTGTAACAAAAGAGGAGAACCCACCAAATTGCCCAGAGCTTCGGCCAATTGAGCGGTATTGGGCCATTGTCAAGCGCAATTTAAAGAAGAATGGTAGTCTCTCCGAAAATATGGAAGATATGAAAAAAAACTGGATGTGGCAACCCGCATGGTTACCAAAGAGTGTGTGCAGAACCTGATGAGTGGAGTTAAGCACAAAATCCGATTAAAAATAAGAGGCTGAACATTTCTTTAATTTTTTTTTACGAAATTAAATTCTAATGTTATTCTCTAATATATAACGAAATACAAATTGGAATCGGATAAAAACGAAAGAAGTTATACGAAAAATAAAGTGTGCAGTTTCTTTTCGGCACATTCCTTAGGACCTCACAAGTGCCGCCCGAGCAGGGATCTTTTGATGACTTTAAGGAGAGTAACACCTTAATACGGACCGTTGTGGAGTAAAGACCCACGGCCACTGAAAGAAACTAGGCTAGCAAGGATCAATACCCGTGCAGCACAAAATCCGGTCGCAAGCAAAAGTGCTACAGTACAAAAGTACCACAAACAACCCGTAAGTCAGTGCTACTAACCGCAGAAACACACCATGGAAGCCCACGGAGCCGGTCAACCCGACGATTATTTTGCACGGAGGGACTCCATACCAATCCAGGAGTCACCACCGGCTGGATCTACAAACTCCGGCGGGATGAGCTGGAAGTCCTGGCCGAGGAATTTGGATTCGGAAACGACGGAACAGTCGAGGAACGACGAAAGAGATTCGTCGCACTAGTCGCTGGACCGGGCCGGGGCGGCGCCGCGGCGCGGCCCCGCCCCCCCCGGGCCCGAACCCCCCGGGCCCCCCCTCCCCCCCCCTACCCGCCCCCCAGTCGCCCCCCCCGCCCTGGCCCCCCCCCCTCCGGACGTGGGTGGGCGCCTCTTCCATGGTGGCCCCGCCTGCGCCGTCCGCGGTCCCCCCTAACGCCTCGGGCCCCCGTGAACAAGGAGCCAATCCGGGCCCCAAGCAAGCGGTAGGAGAATTGTTCAAGGAGTACCTCATCGAGATACGGCTACTAATGCACCACGCCAGGTACGACGCAGCCAAGGAACTGAACAGGATCTACGATAACGCCCTGCCAGCATACCAGATGTACGTGCGGTGACACGAACAACAAAGCTTAGCACAGCTCACAATGTTGGCCACCGAGTTCGAGAGCATCCAAGAGCCAATGATACCAATGATGCCATAAGAGAAAGAACGGGGTAATCTTGCCGAATATCGAC